GACCCTCTCTTTGGCTTTTCTGCTATCTTAGGACACATCTTGCTAACACATGGGCCAAATAAATCAAGATAAAGCCCTGGTGCTCACAGACACAGTTCAAAGCTTGATGGCTGAGGTGCTGGTTGTGGTTTGGGGGAAGGAGATGGGTAGTACCAGTTTGCTGCTCTGGGTATGCCACTGTCTCTGTAACAGCTTGCTGCAAAACGAATGCTGAATGCTATTTTTACTTTTTGGCTTTTTTCGTAAAAGTGAAAATCTTTGGACTTTTTCAGGTCCTAAGGTAGGTTTTTAGTAAAAGCTAAGTGACGTAACATGGACTTTTGAAATTGGGGGATACTTGTACCTCTTTTCCAGAATCTTGGTTCTGCAAAGCCTGGTTGTCCTAGCAGTTTTGATGACTTCAAAACAGTGGTGGTGGTGGTTGTGGTTAATAGCTTTTCTGGTTCTCAGCTGGAGTGTAGGTTGCTACCTACTCTATCACAGCCAAAAGCAGAAATGTAATTTTTTTAAAATGTTGAACTTTGCAGGTGTGACAAGAGAGGCTGTGGGAGCACAGGAAGGTACTTAGCCCAACTAGAGTTATTAGGAAAAGTGTGGTGAGGAGTGACCATTGAAATAACTCTTGAAGGATAAATAATACGGTAGGTAAAAGGGGGGGGTGTGTACCGGCCAGAGGGAACAGTATGAACAGAGAAGTGATGTAATAAAATAGCATAGCAGGAACAAGGAAGCACCATAAATACAAGTACTGCTCTTACAGTATGAATTTTAAGGCAGAAAATGATGGAAGGTGAGTGAGGCTAGAGAGGTAGGTCATGCGGATTTGTACGCCACACCTGGGGGCTTGTACTTACTCTTTTAGGTAATGGTGAGCCTTTTAGAGTTTAAAGCTAGAGAGGATTTGTATTTTAATGATCAGAATAGTGGCATGTGGAATACAAAACCCTGTGTTTTACCAGATTGAATCAATCCATTCTAAATTCTCTTGAGGATTAGTTAGTTGTTCAACTTACTGACCTGGCTTAACCCTATTTGAGGAATCCATGTAAAAGAAAACAGATCCCTTGACCAGGAAGTACTTTCTAGGGTGGGCAGGCAGTTCTGCTTTCCTTTCTTCCTCCCGTCCTTCCTTCTGAATTGGATCACTTAGACACAGAACTTCATTTTTGTAAAGCTATCCCGATAAAATTACTGTTTAGTACATGTTTGAATTGATTTGAAAAAGTGATCTTCGTATGACTTCCCTAAGAGTGAGTCTTAAATTATTAACTTTTGTGGGGGTTTTTTGTTGCTGCTGTTGTTGTTATTAGTTTTGACTAGTGATGATAATACTAGCCATGCAGGAATGCTTCCTTGACCCTATTCCCATATTTCAATATAAGGTATAAAGTCCAAAGATTTGTCATGATCTCTTTCATAACTAGTTGTATTATAATTGGTTTAAAATAATTATTTGTATGTAGTATTTTGTAAATTTGTTTTTTTCTGGCATCATTAGAGCATCAGGCATTTTTAGAAGTGGGAAAGAACAAAACTAGTATTTGAGTGCCTTTTGCATTCTATGTGCTTTCTAAAAGTTGGCTCATTTAGTTATAACCATGATATGGAAATCTCTATGTAACTGTGTTCCCTATGCTACGTACTATTATAGCACATTATGTCCAACTTTTGTGGCACTTCTTAAAATTATATGTTTGTCATTTGTTTAATGTCAGACACCAAATAGGCACATTATATATAATTTGTCATTTAGGGATCTTTTTCTCCTCCATCCCCACTGTATGGATCTCTGAGCTGAAGGTAGAATTAATGGTGTTTTTGTTCCTCATTACTACTCTGGATCATTGTTCTTTCACCTCCTTCAAGCCTCCCCAGTTTCATCAGATTCTGTCACCATCTGTTTCTCCTTGTGTGAATGTATTTCCTTATCATTGATTTGTTTGGATGGATGGCTTAACATTACTTTTTTTTTTTTTTTTTAAAGATTATTTATTTGTTTGAGAGAGAGCACACAAGCTGGCAGAGGGGCAGAGGGAGAGGGAGAAACAGGCTTCCCGCTGAGCAGGGAGCCCGATGCGGGGCTCGATCCCAGGACCCCGGGATCATGACCTGGGCCGAAGGCAGACGCTTAACCAACTGAGCCACCCAGGCGCCTTCTCTTTGTGTGAACGTATTTCCTTATCATTGATTTGTTTGGATGGATGGCTTTTAACATTACTTTTCTGTTTGTTTTGGCATTTTAGATAAAAGCTCGTCTTGGTAGGAATTTAATTTCTCTTGAATGCTTAACTCTCTTCATTTAGAAATATTGTGACTGCCTTCACTTTGTTCCCAGGGACCTTTAGGAGCCCCCAGTCCAGAACTAGATCTTAAGGTAGCAGCTCAGGGCTCTGTGGAAAATGATTTATTATTGAACCAATGACCATGCTAATAGCTCTTTGACTCAAGGCCTAGTTGTCAGTTTGTGTCTGCTTCCTCTCACTTTTCTTGAGAAGCCACAGCTCCAGATGATGTTTTGCCACCTTTTTCAGACTCTTTTTGTGAGAGAGAGAATTCAGCTCCTGGCTCTAATAGCCTAACTCCAGTTTCCTCTGTCATGTTGGACAATAGTCTCTGCAGGACATATATTCCCTTGCTACTCTGTGCACCCAGAACTTGTCAAGCCCACAGCTTCAGTTTGTGAATTGCCTATGTTTTTTTTCGATCAATGGAATTACACCACTGATTCTCAGAGTATCCCATTTCTAGCAGTCTTTTTCACCCACCTTGATTTTATTTGCAAGTCAGAAGAGCTTGACAATAAGTTATTTCCTCCAGGTTGACATTATTCCTATGCTTTAAAGTTCACAGGCTTGGGGCGCCTGGGTGGCTCAGATGGTTGAGCGTCTGCCTTCGGCTCAGATCCTGATCCCAGGGTCCTGGGATTGAGCCTCACATCGGGCTCCTGGCTCGGCAGGGAGCCTGCTTCTCCCTCTCCCTCTCCCTCTGTCTCGTCCCCGCTCATGCTCTCTCTCTATCTCTGTATCTCAAATGAATAAATAAAATCTTTAAAAAAAAAAAAAGTTCACAGCCTTAAAAAAACATAGCTCTTTTCCATGTCTTTAACATGATCATATCCTCTCCTCAATTTTTACCTTTTAAGAAACAAGTTTGTTGCTATCTCCTATGAGAAGCTTTCATTCTACTTCCATATGGGACCAAGTGCCCTTCCAGTGTATTCCCTTAGCACCCTGTGCATACCTCTCTTTTACACTAAACATAGTTGATTGACATTTTCTGATTGCCTCGCTATGAGACTTTAAGTTTAGAAGTTTAAACAGGGAGCTTTTTTTTTATTCATCATTATCCCAGGACCTATCGTATGATGCACCCTGAATATTATTAATATGTTATTAATATATTATTAATATGAACTGAATTAAATGTTTTGATTGTTCATAGTTTTAACACCAGCTTGGTGGTGAGATGTAAATGTGAGAGGTTGTAAACCATTTTTATCTCAATTTCTTGTCTGTATTTCTTGTGCAGTAGTCTAGGGTCGGTCTTTATTTGACAAAAGGAATTGACTAGAAGGTGGATATATGGCAGTTAACCTTCTGAAATACCAGTTATAACTGAGTTTAGCTAGATGTAAAAATGTGTGATTAGTTGGTTTGGCCAACACTAAGAAACCCTTTACTATGTTGTGCCAAAATGAAAAGTGACACAGGAATTGGGGGAAAAAATGAGAAATTAGCTTGCCAATGCCATGGCAGAGATTATAATGAGCACTGAGTCACGTATTTCTCACAACACTAAAGAAAGCCAAGAGGAAGGAGAGAAGAAATTCCAACTGAAATATCTGTTTGAGGAGATACATTATTAAGATACACAGCCCACCCTGCTTTCATGGCTCTTAATGTATCTCTCTGTGATATAGGAATTAATTTCATAAAATTGACCTAGAGTAATCAGGAAAGAGGTTTAAGCTATGGTCTCTCTACTTTCTAAGGAATGAGAGGAATAATATATTTTAAAGGATTTCCATCTAAAATGGTTGTAATTACAAAGATGCAGTGCTTGGATTAAACCTTTACTTGTCTGGAACCCTCACTTATTGAAAATACTTTTTTCCACTAATCAAAGAGTCATTTCTTTACTCTATTGTGTTTACCTGGTTGAAGTAGTTCTCATGGATCTGTTTCATTTATTATCTGTTTCTCATAGGATCTGTTTCATTTATTATAAGTAGATTATTATTAGGTTTATTTTGTATTTTTTTAATAGTGCCTACAAAACTCAAGAGTAAAGATAGCTAAGTCATTATTGCATTAAAGTGTGTAGCTTCTAAAAATTAAGCCTGTACTCAGCAGTTTAAAATAATATGTAGGAAGCAATAATGTCATATGTTTGTATGATAATCTCTCCATTAGTAAATTAGTTCAGGTGAATTTCCCCTTCAGTATTCTTCCATGATCTTTAAATGTATAATTCACCTATTGTCCCTGATATCTTTAATTTATTCCTGTTGACTTTAGATTTGTTTTTAATGGGCTGTTATTCTATTACCATATTCCATTTACATTTCCTAAGATGGTTTAATGGCTATTTGCTGCCTTAGAAAGAAATTCACTATATTTTCTTATTCTCTAGAACTGGGAAACTTAATTCCAAAACTACTGTCAGTTGATAATAGTGTTACCTAACCTTTAAAGTGTTATATTCTCTGGACACCTTTGTTTAATTAAAATATAGGTATATGGTGAGATGACATTGTGAAGATTTTATTTAATAAACAATGAGAATATTGGATGCTGATAAATTGCTATGACCAGTACATAATGTTTTATCTTTGTACATCTTAAGTTTGATAGATTTTGAGTAAACTTAAAAACATTTTTAACATATAAATGTATTCCATAGCATTTGCTAGTCTTTTAAGAGAGAATTCATTCTTGATAACTTGGAACCTCACTTGTTCTTTTTTATTTTTATTTTGTCTTTTAATTGTTCCCTTGTAGAATGTTTCTCCATCCCAGAGAGATGAAGTGATTCAGTGGCTGGCCAAACTCAAGTACCAATTCAACCTTTACCCAGAAACATTTGCTCTGGCTAGCAGTCTTTTGGACAGGTTTTTAGCTACTGTAAAGGTAAATATTTTAGGATACACTTAAACACAGCCTCTTGTTTGAGGGTGTATATACTAAACCAGGGGCATTTAGTAAATATTCTAGAAAGTGACAAGGAGTGAACAACCTTGGACATGATCTATGTCCCTATAAGAAGGCATGATGTTTTCCATTATTGCTGTAAATTTTTAGAAATGTTTTGAATTGTATTCTGTAATTTTATTTTTGCTACCAGTATTCATAACATATACTTAACCTATGAAGTTTTTGATTTCCTGATTTTAATACAAACAGTGTATCATCAGCAGAATGTGTCGTCATCTTTTAACACGTTGGTGTACTAGATGTTATTGGTGAACTAGACTAGAAAAGTATAAGCCTATTACACATTTTTTTCTGTCACTACTTAGTTATTGACTATACTGTGTTGTGTTTAGAAAATACATAAATACTTTCTAGAGGCAGGCATTTGGAATATAATAAGACGAACTGAGCATAAAATAAGTTTGGTATATTTTTGTTGAATGATAGTGTATAAAAATACATGAATAAATTTTATATTGTCTCTGTTGGTATAATATATCATTGGTTATATTATGTGAAATTGGTCATAGTAGGCCCTCAATGGATTTAAATCGGAAAGTTAGCATTTATTTAATGGCAAGGCATGAAAAAGTAAAAAAGCAATTCATTTGTTGTCATTTGTATGCCTAGGAATATGTAAGCTGGGGGAACTGTGAATTCAATGCTAAGGATACTGTACTCTTTGTTATTAAGTATGAAAAATAGAAGTCAAAGAATTATGGAGTGGAAGAATTTGGATGGCCACTCAGTTATCTTTTATGTTTCACACTTGTACTCTTAAGAGACTTAAAGAACCCTTAATTATAATGATACTAATTGCTTGAAATTTAGGTTCTCTGACATATCTACTTTTATCTCACTACCAAGGCCCCCCCTCCCATCCTCCGACTCTAGCTAACCGCCTTTTCACAGAGAAAGATGAGTTTAAGCTTAGTGTCCTTTCTTGGTTTTTATGTTCTTCACAAACTGTTAATGACCTTAGTGTAGCTTCTGTCATAGAAAAGATTCTTACCTTATTATTAAACATTTTAAACAGATTTGGGAAAGTTTCTGGATCAGTTAGAGAATTGCCAAGTATTCCATTTTTTTCATATTTCTTATTTAATGGGTCCTGTCATGTTACTAGCCTAAAATTCTCTTACTTAGATGGTTAATCTGTCTTGAAACAATTAACCTAAAATGTAGTCGAAGTTTAAATAAAGGGACTTAAAGCAGACCATACAAGGCTGCAGCAGTGAATAGAGCCTCAATCCTAGCTGTGCAGAAGAAAGTGCTATGTAGCTCTTTAAAAGTATGGACCCTGAGCCCTGTCCCAGAGCTACTGAATCTGAATCCCTAGTTGGTAAGATCTGGATGTCTGTATTTAAAGAAGCAAAAACAACTGCACAAATGACTCTGGTGTACATCCAGGAATTAGAACTACTCTTTGTTGAAAAAAAAAAAAAAGATCATACTTGCTCTTGGGATTATTTTTACTATGAAATTTATTGGTGCCCTTGATTTAGGAGTTGCATGGCCTACCTTCAGTTGTTAACTGTTGGGCTCTTCTTTGTAGTGAACTCTGATTACCTCAAGGATTTGACCTGTTGTATACTTGGGGAAATAAGGGATCCTGGAAAACTGTCTTAGCTACAAGATATGCCTTTACTTCCTATATCACTTGTGTGGTGTCCCTTCTGAGACATAATAGATAGACATCGTATTTTTGGAAGTGCTTTCTAAATCATAATGTCTGATTAATATTAATGATTAAATACAAATAGTGATATTATTGAACCAGCTTTTATTTTTCATATAGGCAGAGGACTAGAAGGTTCCTAGACAGTATGCCACTTACACTGAGGCAGTGGTCACTGGTGTGTTTTTTAAATAAGTTACTTAATCAAGGCCACATCAGGTCATCAGAAGGTTTCCCTAATTTCACAGGAATGTAATATTTAAGTATAAAATAAATATCGAAACAGGTTTTCTTCGTGTTATGTAACTTATCTCTGTATCATTCAATGTAATTGGAGTTAATTGTTCTGGTTATTTAAAACTGGATTCTGATGCTGGGTTTGGCAAACCCTTATTCTAACAGTGAGGTAGAAAGTACTCCTACCTACCTTATCTTAGATAAGGAAAACAGGCAAATTCAAGCCTTCCTATGCATGTCAAACCGTTTAGAAAGTTTTTTCCTCCTACTAATTGATGATGAATTTAAGAACCTTTCTTTCTCACCATGGAACTTGAATATATACTTGTTTTTGTGAACACTTAATTAGAAAATTTCTACTCCCCCGCTAACACCCTATAGTTTTTTTAAAGCATCTGGAATAGGTTTATAGTCTTTTTTATTTTATATTGTCTCTTTCTCTTTAATTCCCCTAACATCTAGTATGGTAGTATTACTGATATGACAGATAAAGAGAGTAAAACTAGCTTACAAAATACACACATGTATAAATAGATTTTTAATTTTTGGAATTTTATTTATTAAGTAAATTGTCTTCTAAGAGTAAGTTCTTCTCTGCTAGATAGATATTTAACTTTGGCTAACTAGCATTGGTTCAACTTTTAACTATATAATATCTTAGTATTTTCATAAAATATAATTATGGCTAGGGTTGTGAAGTTAAAAGTTAGCCCTGGTCTTAGAAAGCAATAGGTGGGAATCAGATTAATTATTCCTTAGAATTTTGTGCATACTTGTCTGACGTGCATATCTGGTTTTTAAAAATAAACTCTTTTAACTTTCTAAAAACCACTGATGTTGCTTTTTTCCCTCTTCAAAATTATAGGCCCATCCAAAATACTTGAGTTGTATTGCAATCAGCTGTTTTTTCCTAGCTGCCAAGACTGTTGAGGAGGATGAGGTAAATATTCTCCTTTAAAAATTAGTTATGTCTCTTTCTTGAAAATTTCTCTCCATTTATTAACTTGCTTTCTGTTTACCAGAACAAAAACTGAAAATTAGTTTATTTTTGTTCTCTCCTCTTCACTCTGCCCCGTTCCCCTTTGTTTTGGACAGAGAATTCCAGTACTGAAGGTGTTGGCAAGAGACAGTTTCTGTGGATGTTCTTCATCTGAAATTCTGAGGATGGAGAGGATTATACTGGATAAGTTGAATTGGGATCTTCACACAGCTACACCATTGGATTTTCTTCACATTGTAAATACATCTAATGTCTCTTAGTTTTCTTAGTTTTCTATGGGAATATGTAGTCTTAGGAACTTAGGAAAGTAGAGTGCCCACTCATTTGTTGTGACTTTTAGAAAAAGAAAAATTAGAAATTAGGATATTATCCTATGTCAGATTTCATGAAGCTAAAATTACAAACTTAAGAAATTGAGTAATACCTGAGGTTACATCAATTTCTGTATATAATTTACCTAAAACTTTAAGTAAAACTAGTATGATGTTCTTGTGGCTTTTTTCAGTTCCATGCCATTGCAGTGTCAACTAGGCCTCAGTTACTTTTCAGTTTGCCCAAACTGAGCCCCTCTCAACATTTGGCAGTCCTTACCAAGCAACTCCTTCACTGTATGGCCTGCAACCAACTTCTACAATTCAAAGGATCCATGCTTGCTCTGGCCATGGTTAGTTTGGAAATGGAGAAACTTATTCCTGATTGGCTTCCTCTTACAATTGAACTGCTTCAGAAAGCACAGGTAGGTGTCAGTCAAAGTAAGTGTCCATTTTAAGTTCATCTCTTACTGGGATACGTAAATGATTATAAAACTAAGAGACAATCTAATCTTGTAATGGCAAACCACTTTGAAGAGGAGACAAGAGTAAAGTAATATACACTTTAAACTTATGAGCTAGGTGAACTTTTTTCTCTTATAAAGCTTAGATAGTATTTTCTTGCTTCTTTTCAACCCTTCTTCTAGGTTACTTAAAATCTTTTTTTTAAGAATCTTGAAAAATTAGTAAGATTCTCTATAATACATTGTCCTTTTGTATGTAGAACCTTCCTAGCTACATTTGTAGGTTTCATCATAGTACTTCTTTCTATATTTCTACTTATTTTGTAAAAGATAAATTAAAAACAAATGGCAAGAATTTGCTTTTTAGACAAGCAGATAATTTATTGTTGGCTAGAAAGTGAAGTATTTGTACTAGACTTTGGCAAGTAGAAGCCATCTTTCTGAAAGAGGTTTTGTCCTGGTAGTTCCTATTATTGCCTAAGATTTTTCCATCACTTCTCTCTGCAAATTGGCATAAAATGTTATAGGCCAGTTAAATTTTTTATCAATTATCTATATAAAATGCAGGAGTTTGAATGGAGAAAATTCTCATTCAAATGGAAAGTTAGTAAAGGTGCTATATGTGAGCAACTACTTTGGATAAGCTTATTGGTTCTATTCATGTCACCAAATAGAATTTAAAAGTTTACATCTGCTGCAGACCATACCCTTCTGCCAAATGAGTCCATAAAAGACTTACGGATCTACTTTCCCTTTATATGTCCCTGTTTGTTCTTATTTGATGAAGTTATTCTGATTTATGTTATCGGATTTTATTTAGAGAAAAGATTTAAATTCTGAGCTTAAGTAATTACATCTTATAATAAAAAAGAGCTGCAGTTATCGAACTTACAAAACTTAGAATACTATAAAAGAAAAACAGAACAATACTTGAATTTGGTGTGTTATAAGATATGTCATAGATATGAACTGTAAAAGTTAGCAGACATGTAAGTACCTCAGTACTACCTCTCAGCTCTGAGAATTTCAGACCCTAGTCTGTGAGCAGAGAAGGATTGAGGGTCTTTTCATAAAAACGTTGATGATCAGAGCAATATATTAGCTAGAGGCCCATTCCTCTTCTGTGTGCTTTGTTCCACTGGTTTTAGCGTGGCTCGGCTTGCTCTACATCCCCGGGACAGGCATAGGATGTTGGTGGTACCACAGGCTGTTTCTCCTTTACAAGGGAGACATTTTCTTTTAATAGCATATCTTAGATTGTTATAATTGAGAAGTATTTCCATTGAAATAAATGCTAGAGTGGAAATAATTCTAGGAGATAGTTGCTGTTTAGTGAGGATTTTTAGAAATTATCATAAACCACCATATAACAATAGTGTGGCACAGGAAATTTACTTTCCTACCTACTGTGTTGTTAAGTGAAATTGAATGTTAATCATTTACATTAGACTGTGAAGTGGGAGAATATGGATATTAATAGAAAACCTCTGCATTTCGTTTTCCATTTTTTTATTGGAACAATGGACATGTTTAAATGCTCTGACTTGGTCTCTGTGCCTATTCCCAAAGCCAGTACAGAGAAAATTTGCTATATGAAGTGTTACTGTCACAAAGAAAGGACAGACTTTGAAGCATAAATAATAAGACTGTTGTAAATAGAATTTGTATTCTGTAGCTTTGAGAGCTTGTTCTCCACTAAAAAAATACTAGAGGATATGCTTATTCTCTTTCATGAGTCTTCTGGTGTTTTGGTGCTGTAAGAAGAATGTTCATTGAAATTTGTTCCCTTCTTATTGAAGGAGTATTACAGACTTAGAATTTGAAGGAATCTTCTTAGAAATCATTTCATTCAACTCCTTTATTTTAAACCTGCAGTTCAGGGAACTTGGGACTTTATCAGAGACAACCAGGACTGCTTAGTAGAGAACCAGTGCTTTCCCATATACACCTTAAAGATTTAGTTTGGTGGTTTTCAGAGTTTCTTTTAGAACTAGAATCCTTCCCTTGACTCCAGCAAAATCTTGTACACACACAATCCCAGAATATAAAGTTAGAAAAGTAATACTTTCTAATATGTATTTGGGGCAGAGACCTGTTGGGTGCAGTCTTAATCCACATGGCCTCTTCCCTTTTGCAAGCTGTTTGGACATAGTTTGGAAACCAGTGTTCAGTTCTCTTATACGAATAGTTATGGTCCACAAACATTTATTGAAAAATCTATGATCTAGGCACTGGGGAATACAGTGATTGTAAAAAATGAAAAAAGGCCTCTGCCCCATGTGGTATTCAAATTATAATGGAGAAGAGAGTTAAAAACAACACCACAGACTTTGGGACTTGGTCTTAACAGTTCTCTAAAACCAACTGGGACTGATAGCCAATATATGTGGCCCAAACCTGATGGATCCTGAGTCTTTAAGGCTCAGTGATGTCTCTGCTGTAAGTTCACCTGTGTTTAGGTGGGAATACCAGGTCTAATATCTTGTAGTTAGATGTGTGATAAGGCCATCAAATATTCCTCCTGGATTCTCGGTTCTAGTACAGGAAATTTTTGCAACGTATTGGTGAGATCATGCCAGAATTACTTCTGCCATGTTTGCCCGTGTCCTTGTTTGAGAGGACTACCAGTGTCCATCAGAGACGTGCCATGCTGTAAGGGGGCCGCTCTCACTGGCTCTGCCTTTGTTCGCTCGGGACTGCAGACCAAGTACAACGAGGGTTCCTGGTTTGAAAGGCAAGCCTTCCTCCTAGTCGCCTACCCCTGTTCTCTTAGCTCCCATGCTAACTGTTGGTCACCTTTCTGGGATGGCTCCCCTCTTTCTCTTATCCCTTCTTTCCTTGCTTGACATCTGTAGCTATACTCACATCTTTCTCTTTCTGACTAATGTGACCCACCTTGAGAATCTCAGAATATTAACTCTACTGACTGAGTGTGGTCATTTCCCTAGTCCCTAGCTAGACAGTCGTCAGAGCAGATGTTCTTGGCCGTGGTGTAGTTTAAAACTAGAGTGGAGACTTAGAGAAGCAGGCCTTCCCCACCAGGGTCTCCCAGTTCTTGAAGGTGCCTCAGGTCAGACTGCTGCAGCAGGTATTTTCAGTGCTTCGTGCTGCTTGCCTTACCTGGGGCCATCTGAACCTGTCATGTATGTCCTCTCCTGTGCCCCCTTCATCAGTAACCCATCTGCATGTCTGCCCTGCAGACTTCCCGTGCTTCCTGTTCCGCCTTCCTTGGTGAGCTGCATTACAGTGGTGTTTGTTTTTCTAAACCAATAATGGTAACCATTATTTGAAATTTGAGAAGATAGTCATAAAAAGTAACAATAAATGTCCTCTGAACATCCCGCAATTAGAATGAGTTCGTTTTAAATCTTTTGATAACAGTTTCGTTAGAGGACTTTTGTCTGGTGTCTGAAGTTGTAGTAATTCCAGTTGAGGTGCTTGTTCTGTTTCCTCCACTGGATCTCAACAAGGGTCACACTCGATTTGTTTACTTAGAACAAATTCAAGTAGTAGATTAGAAGGAATTTCTTTTGATGTGTTATTTTGAACAAAAGACTTAGTTGGATGGAAATAGAGTTCATATAGATGGTGTTGGTTTGATAATGTCTTTCTTGCCCTGTCATTTTCTAAACTAGAGTTGACTCTTCAACAGCACGGGTTTGAACTGCACCGTAGTACACGACTGCAAATGTGTTTTCTCTTCCTTATGGTTTCCTTAATAACATTTTCTTTTCTCTAGCTTTATTGTAAGTATATAATACATACAACATACAAAATATGTGTTAATTGACTGTTACTGGTTATTAATGAAGTTTTTGGGAAGTTGAAAATGAGATGCAGATTTTCGACTGTGGGAGTTGGCACCCCTAAATGCCCCGTGTTGTTAGGATCAGCTGTATAACTTCCTCTTAACTTTTTGCACAGAGAAAGATTATAGTGGCGTAGTCTTCCTTTTACTTGAAATGTAGGTCTTTTTTCAAACCAGTACCATCTGTGTGAACTCGACTTTGTAGAATTCTGCTGTGGCATTATGCCCAGTGACCAAGGCATTAGAATATCACAATATTCTAATATTTTACTTTTCTAGGCCCCCAAGTATTAGTCATTTGCTAAGGAACAGTTTGTTAGAGTAGGTACTTTTCAGAAATAATTTTTATACTCTAGCCTTTTTTTCGCTTCCCAATTTCGGTCTTTCACTTCTCTGACCTCCCTTTTACAAGCTTCTTGAAGTATTGACAAGGGTACCTATCTCCTGAAAGAGCTTTAAAGCCCTGTCCCTCTTCTGTGTTTTTTGTTTCCTTGTTTTTAGCATGGCTCAGCTTGTTCTGCATCCCTGGGACATGATAAGCCCTCGCCTACAGCTGTAAGCTTAATAGTTGGGGACTATCTTTAAGTATTATGAATTCTTTTAAGGGAAGAAAAGAAATTCTAAGACTAGCTAGTAGTATTTTACCCTTAGGGTGTTACCTAGTGTCTTTCAAACAAGGAAAAAAATTAGTGAACCAAATGGTAGAAATTAAAAATGGTCATTTCATTTTTGTGTATTGTTTCTGACAATTTTAGGCATTTTAACATTTGTACTGTGATGATAACATCTGCCTTTCATTCTTCTTTCCACTGATACTTTCCTGGGTAACAAGTAATGAATATTTTTAGAGATAAAAACAGTCTTGTGACCGGATGTGTTCGTTGTTCTTGCAGATCATGCTATTTTCCTTTATTTTCTCTGTGGTATTGCAGACAGTCATGTTGTGTACTGTAGGTTGTATGGGTATGAATAAGATGTGGTTAAGAAATGTCTAAGAATACTTATAAAATACACAAGACTGGAAAGTGATCCCTGATAGTTAATAGTCTAAGTAGGCTTCCTGGAGATGGCGGCATTTAGCCGGACCTGGCCGGAATAGGTTATATAATTTCAACAGGTAGAAATAGGATGAGCAGGGATAGAGTAAGAAAGGGCAAGATTTGCACAGAATAGAGAGAGCAGGCCTGTTTGGCAGAAATGGAGAGCACAGTTTGGGATATGCCAGGAAATAAGGCTGAAAAAGGTTGGGGTTAGATTGTGAAGAGCCTTATACCAAGCTAAGGAGGTTAGCTTATTTCTGGTAGGCACTGGGGTGCAGCTAAAATATTTGAATAGGGGAGAAATGTATGTTGCTAGGGAAAGTAGGACAGAGAGACTGATTGTCCACAGGGAGGATTTTAAAAGCCTTTCATGTGTAGTCGTTGTGCTAGAAAAGAAACTTAAGGAATAAAGATGAATACGATACAATGCCTGCCTTTTGGGGGCTTATAGTCTATAAAGGAAAAGCTAAATGGTTAAGTAGATTATTTTAATACAATGTGGTGTATGATGACAGGTTGAAATAGAAACAGATGCCCCTGGAATTTGGGTGTGGGGGCCAGGGAGAGTCAGCGGTGGCTTCAGAGAGAATACCTGAACTATCCTGAAGGATAAGAAGGAATTAGTGAAACCTCCAAATTAAACAAAAACATTTCTTGTTAATGTTATCAAGCTTGCTAATTTCTACAAAAATATTATTTCTCAAAAGTTCTCATTTGCTATTTTAAAAACAAAATAAATTGTTTTAAATTCTTAGCCAAATCATTGTCCCCATCCCTTAAATTTTTTCATGCCTCTGGTTTTTTCCCTAAATTCTTAATGAATTTTGTGTTTATCTGTCCTGTGTCTTCGTGAAGAGAATAGAAGAGGCAAAGAGGGTGGGGCGAGGGGTCTTTGAAGGGTCTTCTAGACAGAGGGAACAGACTGAACAAAAGTAGATGTTGGATATATACAGTGAACAAAAGAGAATAGTTTGTTTTCATGAAGACGTTCAGCATATATTTGCAAATACAGAATTTAAGTTCCAAAGAGTCTGACATTAGAAGTACAGATTTGGACACATTTCCTAAGAAGATGATGGGTAGGCTGGAGGGATCGATGAATTTCAGGTAGAAGGTGTGGGGAGAGAAAAGAAAGCTGGGGAGGACAGAGGGCATAGGGAGGGAAAGTGGCCAGCGAAATGACAGAGTAGTCTGTATTAATTAAATGATCGACTCTGGTTTTTTTCCTCCGGGCCCAGATGGAGAGCTCCCAACTGATCCACTGTCGGGAGCTTGTGGTGCATCACCTTTCTTCTCTGCAGTCTTCCCTGCCTCTAAATTCCGTTTACGTCTACCGTCCCCTCAAGCACACCCTGGTGACCTGTGACAAAGGAGTGTTCAGATTACATCCCTCCTCTGTCGCAGGCCCAGATTTAGATTTCTCCAAGGACAACAGCAACCCGGAAGTGCCAGTCAGAGGTGCGGCAGCCTTCTGCCATCAGCCCCCAGCTGCCCGTGGGTGCAAGCATACCTCTGCTAAACGCAAAGTAGAGGAGATGGAAATGGATGACTTCTATGATGGACTCAAACGGCTCTATAATGAAGATAATGCTTCGGAAAATGTGGGTTCTGTATGTGGCACTGATTTATCAAGGCAAGAGGGACATGCTTCCCCTTGTCCACCTTTGCAGCCAGTTTCTGTCATGTAGCTTCCAGTGCAAACTAAGGTAGACTACTCTGGGAATGGGAACATGGGAAAACCAGGAAAGGCTATATACAGGTGTATACCTTAGCAGGCCAATTTGAAGTGAGCCAGAGAAAAAGCCCGTTTACTTGTGTGGCAAATTATAATCAACATTATTTAAGCATTTAAAGACCAAAAGTGTGAAATTCAAAAGATCCAAATTTTTTTTAAAGTAAAAAAAATCTTGTAGTGTTTGTCAGTTCCATCCTTTTCTCTGCTAAAATGTAATGGAGATTGACCCATCTCAGATTCATATTCAGTTTAAAGTTCCAAAATTTAACTGGCACACACCCTGTCTCCAGCATCCTGATTTAATTTTCCTCATTTTTGCTTGCTTCTTTATTGAATACTTAATGAACTTTATGCATGTGGATCTATAGCCTGACTTCCACTGATTAGGAAACCCTCAAAATCATTTTTTAGCGATTTAGTGAATAAATTATTTGTGTGACAGCCATGTTTAATCCAGGATTCAAATTAATCCGAAAAGGGTACTTCAGAATTGCCCCATATGAATGAGAGGCGGTAATAGAAAAAGGACTGGCATGACCACATTGATTTTGTGTTTGTCTCATTTCAGTTCTTGGAGGTTGGAAACAAAATTGTTTTCATTTTTGTTTATCTTAAATTGGAACTTGAAAGTGGCGTGTAATTAGGACACTCTTAGATTTGTTGAAAGCATTTTTGACTTTTGTATAAAAGAATTTGTGATAAATATATCCAGGTGCTCACCAAAGAAACATGTAACAACTAAGGTTTTGGTTTGTTTTGTTTTGTTTTTGGTAACTGATCAGTTTTCACTCATTTATAATCAGTAGGAGAGACTGTCTAGATGTTGGGGCAGCTCTATGATTGGGGTCTGTAACGTGTAATAACTGAATTCAGTACCCTAGATTTATGTTAAGCTATTAGTATTTTCTTGATGAAAGTTATTCACCCTACCTGTATTTCTTTTAATGACTTCTGGATCCTGAGCTCCCTGTGCAGTCTGAAGAAGGTATTGCAGTCAGAACCATGTACTGATGATAAAAGCCTCTGGTAGCAATAAAAGTTGTCCTTAACCTTTGTTATCTTTAACTTTTTTCTGCTTGCAAAGTGGCACAAATTCCTGATTGCTAGACACTGGTATTTCAACTACAGAAATGATAAAAATCCCAAATATATGCCCAAAGAAAATAAAACATGAAAAGGGGATTTAAGTGTGACTGAGGAATGTAGGTTTTGACGTAAGAGTTTTTCTTGTGTGTCCTTTTCTCACCTTCTAAATCGTAACTTTTCATCTGGTGGAACAGTTTGTGAGAGCATGCCAGTCTTCGCATCACATCACAAACTGTTCCAAGATTTGGAAACGAACTTTATGGGTAATTGTCTGGTGTCTCCTGATGCTTAGCCTTTCATTCCATGAAGCCTCTCCACAAAGGCAAGGGAATAAACTTGATGATTGGGCATAAATTATTCTCTGATCTTCCATTTTAACAGAAAAAGTGCATCCTCTGACTCTTGAAGATGAACTTTAGTGAAGCAGCTAAATATTTTTCATTCAAAGTTACCTGTGGAGAACTGAGTATCTTTTCTACAGATGATTTATTAGTGTGTGGGGGGAGGGAAGGACTGAGTGCTCCCAAATGCCAATAAAAATAAAACCGATTTGTTGGAAATGTTCCTGACACAGCCTTTGGCTTGAAGGAAGCCAGCTAGAGCTTAGCTCTTCACTCAGCCCAGCTGATGAGACTGAGCTTAACGTTTCCGCCGTTGAGGGAATTAAGACATTGGTGTCTGCTCCCTAAGTAGCAGCATTTCTTTTCTCCTGTTTGTTAGAAACAACATGTATGTGTGTCCTCTGTACATACCTGGATTTTCAAGCTTCCTAATTTACTCAGATTCTGGAGTTCCTGAAACAAAGTCAGTCATGCTTGAGCATTACTGCCCAGAGCACCACAGTGGCCTTTCACTTAACGATGTGATTAAGCTGCTGACTCTTGGCCAACAGGGTGAAGAGCTTATCGTCATCCTTAAGGTAGTTTGTACATTTTCAGCTGGAAAGGGAAGGAAGATACTGTGCCATCTGCTCTCACCACCATCCTGAAAGATCGTATCCCTGGTATGCATTAGCAAGTTGACGGTTAGAGAATTGTCTAATGCCACAGAGCTAAGAATTTTTACCCCTTTATATTTGCTAATGTGAAGTGTTGTCTAACAACTGTTAATTCTGAAGCCTCCAAAATTCTAGAAATTAGCCTTTAAGTTGTTAATAAGAGGAGGTCTCCTATCTATGCTCCATATTAATGTTTTGAGCTTTGGCCACTAGATGGTGCTTCTAGGAAAATAAAGCATCTTTTTAAGTTTCTAGGAAAAATTGAATTACTTAGGCTTACTGTATGAGAATGAGCATTTGAACACTTGTCTCTTGTTGCCAAACGTTAACATCGTTTGCAGTTACAAATTCACATCATTTAAGGCACAGGGGACCTGTGTATCTGGGACTCAGGGAAAATGAGCAAGATCTGCTGAGGTACGGGGCAGACTGTGTCCAGATAGGTCTCATACCAAACACAAAAACAGAACCAGTTTTACAAAAGTAATCCTAATTTTTCTGAGTTGTCTAGTCCTGCAACATAACCTAGAAATGCAATTGAGATTAGTTTCCAAGTCCCCAAACCTGGCTGCTTTCAGTTTGAGTTGGATTTGACCTAATTCATTCAGACAGAAAAGATGAAGTACAGGCGTAAACAGCGTGGGTTGTATCAAGGAATTAAAAGCTTTCACTCCCCGTAATGAGGAGCTTAGAGGTTTTTATGATACACTATTATGCCTAAGACCCATGGGTAGGACAAAGACCTCCCTCTTGCCATCTCTGGATTATTGAAAAGGCGTAATGACAGGTAACCAAGGATGTCTTACCAGAGAAACTTGGGAAAAGCTCACAACTTGTTTTTTTTAGTTCCCAGGAGCTTCTGAGTTAAGGATAAAATGGGAAAAACTGCTCCCTTTCCCTTGACTGTAAAGTACAATCTTCCTAGCGTGTCAAATGCTAGAATTGTTGATCTTACTGTATTACACAACAGTAGGGTAGTAGAAAAGTACAGGCCCAGTAAACTGGTTTCTCATTTCTCAGAAAATGTTTTGTGGGCAAAGACACTCTAGAATGAAGGGCAACCTTAAGCAAGCAACCACTGAAAAGCAATTAGGGCAAGTGAGGAGAGGGCTTTTACTTTTCAGAATACAATCTGTCTTAAGCAATTTAGCATAGAAAGGGCTTACCTTTTCTTTTGCTCCAAAAATTTGCTGTGTTCATGAGGTAGTGTTTGGCTACATCCCCAGCATCTAATGTAGGCCTGGTACAGTACAGAGAATGAAGTATTTGGAAAGGGGGAGAGGCAGAGGGTGGGGAAGGTGGATGGATGGATGTAAATAAAGGGCAAGGAGAGCTAGAACAGCACCTTCACAGTTCTGAAAGCATTGTACAGAGAATGCTCGGTTGAGCCGAACTCTCCTCTACTCTAGCATGTTATTCTGCGCTCCCTTCCCCATACACACTTTGTGTGTCGGGGGCAGGGGGCGGGGAACAGGGACCAACCTCATTATAATAGCCTCTGCCACCTCTGATCTAAGCGCTGTAGTTTTTGTTTTTGTTTTTTTAAAGATTTTATTTATTTATTTGAGAGAGAATGAGATAGAGAGCATGAGAGGGGGGAGGGTCAGACTCCCTGCCGAGCAGGGAGCCCGATGTGGGACTTGATCCTGGGACTCCAGGATCATGACCTGAGCCGAAGGCAGTCGCTTAACCAACTGAGCCACCCAGGCGCCCCTAAGCGCTGTAGTTTTGAAAGAAAGTTTCCACAGTGGAGCCAAAATGCCATTCCACTCACAGCACTGCAGGTAAGTGGTTGGAGGCAGACGTGAGATCTCCATTGTGCCTCACTGTTCCACTGGCCACCAAGAGGTCTCGCTTGTGTACAGCTACTTGTTAGACTAGGAAGCTGCAAAAGGAGGTGAGTGGATACGAAGGCTCACAATTAGTCTTTTCAAATTAAGACATTAAATCCCTTCACTGGCCAGGGGAGAGTTTCAGCTACTTGCTAGTATTTTTCACAGACATGGTAGAGAAAGCCACCCAGGTAACTGAGAAGACAATGTGGAGCAGAACCATTGTAATGATGCTATTGTCTGGGACAGGTTATACACTTCCCTGGGGTTTGTTCCCATGGCCCGGGATACAAAAACTCTGGAAACAAGGTAAAGCACAGCTTCCCAATAAATAAAAAGGCAGGGATGGGCCAGAAAGTTATTTTTAAGGTACCTTTAAGTATAAATTCAGTCCTAGAGGCAGAAAAGTCCTCTACCCAACACGGACACATTTTAAACATGATTAAGACTTATAAAGGTCAAAACCCCAGTGACGGCAGAGGGATTTTTTTTGGTTGTATCTGAGATGAGGAGAGATTCTTAAGCAGAATTCTGTGACTAAAACTTCACTTAAATTTCCTCTTGAACTTAAAACTGGCATAATTTTGATACCAAACTAAGTTTGAATAACCAATACAGAAAACAGAACTGGCTAACTGGAAAAATTTTTTTTTCCCAAAACAGAATCCCAAACCCAAAACAACTTATATAAGGGATGCAGGTCACAGAAAAAGAGTTAAATAAAACAACAATGGTTCCTGAATTTAAAGGAAGGATGCCCACTTCTCTCTCTCAAGAGGCGGTTGGTCAGCTGAAAAATAAAAACATTGCATCAATAGAACACTCCAAATAAAAAAATTGTAGCCATCTCTGTTCATGCAATATCAAAAGTTAAAAAAAAAATCCCAAACTCCAAAACAACCCATAAAAACTAACAAAAGGAAGGAGAATGTTGCCCAGATCTTATGACCTGATTGATGGTTGAGGGTCCTGATGGGGCTGTTCAGAATGTCACTCATGGGACAGAGAGGTCTGGAGTTAACATGAGATCGAGTTTGTGGACCCTGCAGGTGCTGACCACCTCAGAGTAGGGTATGTGCTGTCTTCAGTCCGTGAGTTCTCGGATTGGCAGCTTCAAGAACATGACAGCTAAGCAAGAGGATCCCAACACATGGCTACCTTGGGTCTTGGCCCAAGTTCTCTTTTTCACTCAATTTCCTTTTAAGCATTATTAAGTATTACTGTTTTTGGTAGTGAAAAGTCACCTTAGTAACCACTACGGGCAGTGGTTTGTAAACAGACATTGACAAATACAAACAGCAAGGCAGGAATTGACCCGGACTTTAAAAGAATAGGAGGCGATGGTGGAAATGAGGTAACTCTTCCCCAGCACGCGTGAACAGACACTCCTGCTCTTCTAATGCTCTATGTCCATTAGGGGGGAGTAGGGCTTGTCAACAGGATGGCTACATAAAGAAGAAGCTACAGAGGAGAAAAAAGAAAGATTCAGATTCAAATTTGATTCTTAAAGTTTAAAAAAAAAAAAAAGAGCTTTTCTACAACTGGGGAAGAACAGCAGTGTGTCAGTTAGAGGGCTGACTTCCGTGAGCACAGCCAGGGGTGAGCAGCCAGAGGCCAGGCAAGAAGCGGCTACCTCCGCTGGGCCCAGGGGCGGCACGGCGCCAGGGACAACAGTCGGGACAGGAGGGGCTGGGTGGGAATGGCGGAGAAAGGGAGGCAGAGACCACACGTGACGTACAGGACACCGCACGGCAAGGATCTCGGAGCAGGTGCTGCTGCCCGCACGGGAGCATTTGAAATCCCCCAGACAAGGCAGGAAAGCATGAGACTCTTTCATTCCTATTTCTTTTATCCAATACAAGAATCACGTGTACATATGCATACCAAACAGTGACCAAAAAGAACTCACAAGAGGGCACACATTGTTTGGGTAAAAATATATTTTCCCCCACGTTGTGTCTTGGCACTAGTGATATATGCAGAGATTACCTGCCCACCGCTCTCTACCTTAACAGACACCAAATTACTGAGCAAGGTGGCTATGTGATTACTTCCTCACTTGAAAAAAGGAAGACTTCTTATCAATACAATTATTTTAGTTTTTAAAAAAGCCAAGTGTCTAACATGCAGCTTACATAT